CCCGGGAAGACTCGTCGGGCTCCCGGTCGCCCAAGTCCTGGTAGCGAGCTCTCTGAGATGCTCGGTTCGTTCGGTCGGCAGGAAGAGCCCCCCAGTTGCGACTTCGTTTATGTTAGGAGACCAACGGGCATAGATCCCGTCTAGTTGGAGCGCCAAACAAGCGCTGTTGCGTGCCGGCCGTCGTTTCCCGTGCGGCCTGACCCGGGGGCGGAGTGCATGAGACTAACCAGCCGTATGCACCCGCCCCCCGCGCTGTGCTTCGGCCCTGGGCCCCCGGCTTTTCAGCCCACAGTGTAATCAACGTCATACATACATACATACATACATACATACATACATACATACATACATACATACATACATACATACATACATACATACATACTAGGGTTTGGCACTACTGGTAACGCGCGACCATTGCCCCCGGGAAATCCCGGGATCGATACCCGTTAGGGTCAAAAATCCTTCCGATGGTGGAAGGTATTGCGCCCCTAGTTGATGGACGGTGGTGACCTGGGATAAAGTTATCCTGCGAGCCGATCAGGAATGAAGTTGGGCCGCTGTCGACCCGGCAGAATCCGTTGGATGCTGGTGGTGGGTGCGGAACCTGAGCGATCCACTGAGAAGTTGACTAGGGTGACTGGATGAGGATGCCCCGAAATACCGGGGAAGGCAGGGTTTCGCAGGGTAGCTGCCACGGGCGAAGATATACCCCCCTGTTTCACACATCATACCAGTCATGTAAACGCCCATTCGACAACCCGAACCAGCGAACCAGCGCGTGCTGGTGTGCAGCAGTCGGTCCCTTTCAGACACGCGACACGGGTTACGTCCCTGTCCCCATCCCCTGGTCATACACTTCCTCGTCAGGCAGGTTCAAGAACGCTGTCAGAGCATGGAGAGTGTTTTCGTCCAGCCCAAGTCGCGCCTCACGCGATATCGCTGCGTTGATTTGCTCACCCAGATCCTCTACCATGTCTTCACTGCTAGCACTTCCAGTTATGCTGCCCCTGCTGCTGCTGCCGCCCCCGCTGCAGCTGCTCTGTAAACGCTGCAACTCTACAGCCATTGCGCCAGCATCCTCAAGGGCACCTGGTATACTGCTCCCCCGCTCCTTTGCATCCGTTGCTGTTGCGACCGCCGTACGCCGCCGCCACCAAGGGGCCTTGGGTGTCCCCGAGCCTGACACACCAGCTGTGGCCTCCCCTCCCCCTGTGGTTTTCGCAGCCGCGTCAGGCTGAGACAGACCGCGCACCTTGGCCAGCTTCGCAGCCGCCTTCTCCTCTGCCTTTTGTTCCTTTTGCTGCTGTTTGGCCTGGCGCTTTCGCGCTCGCTCAGCCATCTTGGCCGCCTTCTTCTCCGCCCTGGCAGCTGCTTTGGCGACAGCCCGCGCCTCTTTAGCCTCCCGGGCCGCCTGCTTTTGGACCAGCGCTAGCTGCTTTTTCTCTGCTCGCGAGGGCTTGAATGCTCCGGAGGACGGCCCTGCACCACTCTCAAGAGACGCGTCTGCCGATGCCGACGAAGCTGGAAAGCTCCCGTCTGCTTCGGCGCCTGAGATGGCGGCCTGCCTGTTCCCGTCCCTTACTGATGCCTGTGCAGCAACCGCTTCCTGCACCTCACCGTCTGTCCCCTCGTCCTCCTCGCTGCCGTCCCCCTCCCCATCCGTGCCGTCGCCCGAGGCTGACCCTGAAGAATCACTGTCACTCCCATGCAGCACCGCCGCCTCTGGCCCAACCGCTCTCCTGCCCTCCTCTTGCGGTTCATCGTCCGTCGCCGCTGCCACCGCCAGCGTCGCCGCCGCCTGCGCGGCCGCCGTCCCGCCATGTAACCGCGCGTTCCTGCCGCTTCGCCGTAGGAACTCCCGCAGTTCCTCACCCTTGCACCCTTCTTTGCCCACCTTCTCCTTCTTCTTCGTGCCTTTGCTGGCACGCGGCCGGCGCTCGCGCTCTCGCCGCATGGAGGGGTTGAGCACGTATATGGTCTGCAGGCTGGCCAGGAACTCCGCCGCTGCCCGGACAACCAGCGGCCGCGACAGGTATGCACCCAGTGCGGACACGGCGCCCGTGACGACGCTGATGGAGCCAAGCATGAGACCATCCAACACGTCCATGGCAGCCGCAGCCTCCACCAGGCCCAGACCCTGCAGGTCCGCCAACACGGTGGTGAACACCGCGAAGGAGTAGACGTCGCCCTGCCGGACATGAGGGGTGTAAGGGCGTGGAAAACGTGACTTGGCCTGAGCGCACGGCAGTGCCAGAAACGGAATGTGGAGGCTACGGCCGGGCATGCAAACGGCGTCGACAGGGGAAGAAACGACAGGGCGCTCCCTGCGCTAAAATCAGCAATGGGCCCGGGCTGTGCTGCAGCAAGAGGGTCAAGCAAGACGCCATGGGCTACACGGTGCGCATGGGCCATCCCCCTAACCATATGCCGACTCCACCATACCAACGCACCAGGGAGTCCACCGCGCTGACCAGCGCCGCATTCTTTGCCCCCAGAAGTCCTAGCGACTTGTTGGCGGACGTGTCTCCTCGCATGCCCACACACTGGAGCATATTAGCCATCAGCCGCAGGATGCCTGGGTTAGAGGACATCGGGGCAGGGTGGGGCAGAGCGGATCGCTGTGAGGCGGAAGCGGTTCGCTGACAGGCACGTAGCCAGATGACCAAACTCCCGCTGGCTTGAAGGAGGAGCACGCGAGCACAAACTACTCTGTCCTTGTTACCATACCACGCAATTCCGTGGACATGACGCTGCAAATTCCTAGTTCGTTGCGTCCGCAAACAACAGCAACCTTATTGTGCTCGCCAAGGGTGGGATCATGATGTGTAGGACGCTCTGCCATGTGCCGAAACCGCAACCATCATACACGATGAACCCGTACGCTCACTCGCCCAGTGAACTGGCAGCCTCAAGGTCCCTGCCTCCCCCCCCCATCCCCCAGCGTCCTACCTAAGAAGTTGACCGTCATGACCCCGAATGGCACAAGCGCCACGGAAGCCCGTGTCAGGAAGTGCAGCGGTGCATTGACCCTGCTCAGATGAGCCACCCGGTCATGGAGGTCCGACTCAATGGACGCTGACAGAGCTCGCACCCGAGGTAGCTCTGTCGATAACCACTGCGGGGCGCGGGGGAAATGCTGCCGTCACGCCGTGATCGCCGTTTCCTACGGCTCATTTCCCCTGCACAACCTCTCAAATTGCCGCAACTTGGGTTTCCCAGCCTGCATCTGCCACCAAACCCCAGTGGCAGTCTGTAGCGGTGCCCTGCGATCAACTCGCCCAAACCAGCAACTTATCCAAGCCAACTCAACCCTGTCTACCGCCCCACCGTCACCTCGCGAACCGGTCCCATGTGCTCCCGCGGGTGTGGCACGAAGAACACAGGCCAGGTGTCCCCTGTGGCGGCTTTGGCGGCTGGCAACGCATTCGAGTACTGGGTGGCCAGCACTACCACGGGGAGCTTGTTGAGCAGCGACAAGGCGATGATGCGCCGGTCCAGCAGCGTCAGCTCCTCGTCCTGGGGACAGCGGCGCGGCAATGCTTGCAAGGTGGATTCTTCTGTCTGAGACAGTGTTCGCGGGGAACAAACCAACGAGCCCAAATTGGCAAGGCGAAACTGCCGACTTGATGACCACACATCCCAGGCACAATGAGACACCGTAGCTGGGGGTTGCAACCATGCGGCATGTGAGCGACCCTATAAAGTGGTAAGCCGTATGCAGACGGCCTTTCTCTGCCCTGCGCCTTTGTCATGTGCCGGGCCGCACCTCGCCCCTTAGCTCATGCACAATGGCCACCACGCGGGCCTTCTCCAGTCGCTTGCCGCCGAACACCTTCAGAAACCTCTTACGGTCCTCCTTGTGGGATGGATCCGCGGGGTCCTCGGAAATACGCTCCACCTAGGGGCGTAAGGCATTGACAGCTGCTTCGTTGGCATCACCGATCACGAAATGGCCCGTGGGTCGGGTGTGTTAAGATGAATAACGCGTTGGGTGCGGGTGCGGAGAAGCGATGCTAGGAAATGGATCTGACGCAGGAGTGGACATTAAAGCGGAATGAAAGGATTGTTGTTCGGGTATGCGAGTTCTTGCTCTGCATAAGCCCAACCGTAACAACTAGGAGCAAGAAGCTCTAAAGCCAGAACTATGCTAGAAAGTACAGGCTGCCGGCAGCTGACAGTAGAGGCATGCACTCATTAATTTTGAGTTTCAGAAAAAGGGGCAAGGGTTGATTACAGGTAACTTGACAGGCACATTGCCTAGATAGGTTTGGCCCACCTGGAGTCTGTACAGCCCCAGGTCGTGGAGTTGCTCCTCCACTTCGGGACTGACGTTGAAGCAGAGCAGCGTGCATGGATCCCCGGCCACATTTACGTTTTGGCTCCAGATGTCCCCTTTTAGTTTGTTTAACTCCTCAAAACGTTTTGGGTTTACGTATATCTTTGCTTTCAAAAGATCCTCAATAGCGCTAATCTCCTTTTTATTGTCCTTGTTGAACATAGCTCGGTCTTACCAGCTGCACCAGTATGCATGGATAATGCATGAAGCATGCAGTTTTAGCTTTTGTTATCCAGTTAGCTGCCCTAGCTTTTATCAGTTTGCGCTCAATCCAGCTTCCACCTGCTCTCAGCCTCGGCCCGCTCCGAGACCAAATATTGCATCTAAACTTACAGTACTGTCGAAGTGACTTTTTTCGCGGGAGTTCAACTCTACATTTATTTCTGCCAACTCAGTCACAGTAATCTGCTGCTAGTTTCATCAGGCCAGAAGCGAATGTTGCGAAACATCCTAGCAAGGCCAATGGCCGGACAAAGCTACAGAAGATGCCAGCTATTGACTCCTAGTATTATCTTTCATCCTCGCTGGAGGAATGGGCGTTGTCGAGCCGATCCCACCGACCCACGGGCCGCAATCGAGGCCTGGAAAGCGCCCCACAACTTACAGTTTCTGCTGCCTCTGGACAGCCAGACTGTGCCGCCGGACCCCGCGGTACTTGCTTTAGAACAGCCGCCTGGTGCGGCTTTGAGCTACGTGCTGCGCGAAGTTCTCCTGAACGTTGCCCTGCCCCTGCTCGCGCTGTGGCTGCTGCAACGTTGGCTTGGCCAGATAGAAGAACGAACGGAAAAGGTAGGCACTTCTACAGCCGCGGTAAGTACATCAATAAGCTATACCCCAATCACAAAGGCTAATGGGGCGATTTGTTTAAATGTTTATCGAAAGGTCGCGTGGCGCTCCGCAGATCCGGCCCGCGCAGCTCGACCCGAATATATCCTCCGAGAGCTGACCCTGCCATTTGTATACCCGTTCATCCCTAATAATTCAAATCATTTTCTTTAATGATGGCTGGATTAACACGCAAAGGTTATGACTGTATTGCAGCGCTGCAACATGGAGCCGACCTGCAACGACCGCCGAGCACTTCCTCATATCCCAGCCATTCCTTAAGCTAAACTTCCAATTGCGCTATTCCGTTGCTGTCCTTACTTGGTCTCCCCGCAGCAGTCCAACGAGAGCGGCGCTGTCAGCGGTCACGGAGGGGCCTCTTTGCCGCTATCCCGCCAGCTGGCCGGGCTGCTGCCTGTGGCTGCCACCGCTCCTAGCCGCGCCGCCCTGGCGCTGCTGACCGCCACCCACGTGGCCCGCAGCGTCGCCAACATCGTGCAGGGTCTTGCGGAGCGGGCACTGCTGGCGGCGGGTGGTCCGGGGCCCGACGACCTGTACCGCCTGCTGTCACATAGTGCGGTAGCCCTGTAGCCCTGTGGCCCTAGCGCAATTGCACCTGCTGCGAGAGACTGCCGCTTGGGAGTTTAGTGAAAGCGGCTATCTGGCTGAGGATGCAGGGGCCCCACGCCCGTCCTCGAAAATCCGGGCATGCACTTTCAGGCCTTCATGCAGAATTCCGCAACTGTGCGGCACGCAGTGCCGGTGCATCTTGCGCCCCCACCTGCCGCGACTTGCGCTCCCACCTGCCGCGCACTCACTCCGCAGGCCGCGCCGGGCAGCTGCTGCATTCGTTCAAGGCGGCGTTAGTATGTGTGGACCAGGGGCTAATGCTGTTCTACCAGGTGGCTCTGGTGGTGTTCGGGTGAGAGCGGGAACGGGTTTCAGTCGAGGTTGTGATCTGCTCCATGTGAACAGTAGCTCCCACGCCTTTTGTTTGGCCCTTGGCACCGCATACCGCCTTTGTATTGTTGAGTCATTTTCACGATGATGACATTCGCTGCAGACCTCTGATGAGAATAAGTGCTAATAGCAACTACCTTGATAATTTTGTTTTTAGGAAAATATAAAATTGAAAAATATCAACCGCAATAATAGATTTTATGGCTTCGCCTTCTACGTCTTCTGCTATAATGAAAAGAGGTTTGCCAGCTTTTCATTTTTCCTAACAAACGCGTTAATATTACTGATTCGCTCAAGCTCGTAGGAGTAATGATAAAAAGTTTTTTGATTTTAGAAACGGGGTAGTATATCTTGAGCTGCACGGCGCATGCTCAGGCTGTCCGAGCGCTGACAACCAAAATATAAAGTTTGGTAAGGCGGGTAGAAAAAGGTGGTTAGGTATTAAGCCAACGGTAAGAGGGGTAGCGATGAACCCATTTGACCATCCTCATGGAGGTGGTGAAGGAAAGACATCGGGAGGTAGACATCCTGTAACTCCTTGGGGTAAGGGTGTATTTCCAGTGCGGATTAACGTCGCGGATTAACCCTCTGTCCTCCATCGATACTTGCTCAAACGGCTAAGTTGTTGGCAAACTTACCTCGCCTTTTCAACCTTTGGTTCCCTTATGGAACGAAACTATGTGGTAAGCTCGTACCAAGGATTTCCGCGCCCTAATCCCTGGCCTTAATCCGCACTGGAAATGCACCCTAAATCAACCAAAGGTTTGCGTACTAGAAATAATAAGCGTACAGATAAGTTTAAAATAAAATCTAGGAGAAAAAATTAATAATATTTATTGATATATATGGGTAAAAGATCAGTTTGGACGTTCGATGGGTTTCGGTAGACAGGGGAACGTGTATTTCCTTATTTCGTGAGCAGGACGGCAGTACAAGTTTTGCACAGGGAAAATTACCTCAGGTTGCTGCGTACGCCTCCTGAAAAACCTGAAGGTAGTGTCGTACTGGCAGTACTGTACTGCAGTGTTGTGGTGACAAACGAATGTACATACGGTTCAGGTGCTGGGCGCTGCTGAGGTGGAAGGAAGTGGCCGTTAGCCGCTTCCTGGTGCGCCGCCAGGAGACTGCACAGGGCCGGCAGGAGCTGGAGCGAATCATCACCCCGATCAACACGTGAGCGGGCGCACCTGGTCGCGTTGCTGTGCATATCTCCTCCTCCCCCTTCAGCCCAAAGCCCAGTCTGGCCTACATAAGCCAGTCCTATGCGTTCAGTTCACCGCTTTGCCCCGTGATTGCGGTTGACCTGTGCCGTGCAATGCTTAAGACACAGTGCCGTGCAGGTTGGTAACGTGGGTGTTGCTGGCGGGTGCAGCAATGCTAGTGGTGCAGCTGCTGGGGTTGGACGTGAGGCCGCTGCTGCTGCTCACGGGCTGGAGCAGTGTGGTGGCGGGACTGGCCTCACAGCAGCTGCTAAGCAATGCGGTCAGCGGCGTGCAGATGGTGGGTGAGGCCGACCGCGTGTGACGGGGCAGAGACTACCGACGGCTCTGTACTCCGAGGCCTTTGAGCACCTTGAAGGCCCAGTCGTAAATGTACCCACAGCGCAGATCAGTCCATTAACAACGCACGTTGCTGTCAGGTGTCAATGGGTGAGGGGAAAAGACAGTGTTTGATAAAATCGTTGCCACGACAATGTCGAAAGCTGGCCATGAGTTTGTCGCAACGTGCGAGCGCGGGCTGGTCTGCGGCAACCCTACACATATACCGCTCAAACGACACCGCAGCCACACGTCCCAATGCCCATGCTCTGCCGCTGTTTCTTACGCGTTAAGATCATGTATGTGTCCGTTCGCCGCACTGCGGTTGGGCTATCTGATATTGGCGGGGCCCGTGCAGTACCTGGACCGACCTTTCCAGGTGGGGGACACCATCGCAGTGCTGTCTGGCATTACGACGTACGAGGGGGAGGTGGTCGACATTGCGGCTCTACGCACCCATGTTGCACTGGAGGACGGCTCCACGGTGGCCATTCCCAACCGCTCCCTGGCCGATATGATCATCACCAACAAGAGCCGCAGCAGCAGGCGTGAGTGGGCAAGCGGTGGAGGGATGTGGGAAATTGGGAAAGAACCCGGGATCGGGGCCAGGGATGAGGTGCGTCCCACGGCGCGTCGCATGATATGGGTTCTAGAGAAAGCCTGTGTCGGGCTGTGGTCCTGGGTTTCCCACCAGTGGGCTGGACATCATGACGGCCATGGTACGGCAAGCTACGTAAGAGCCTCATCATGTTCAAAGCACTGGTCGACCGCCTGGGCCCCACGCCTTGCCCGTTATAGCGCCGCGCTAGAGACCTGATGAAGGCTGGTTTGACGGCCGAGCCCTCTCCTGTCTCCCAGCCCGACAGCCCGCCTGCTACCTCGCTATTTGCCCTTGGCAGGTCTCAAGAGGCGTCCCTGGTACCATTCGCGTGCGCCGCTGTCACTGCAGCTGCGCATCCGGCTGCGTCCGCCGGATTATGGTGGATCGCTATACTCTGAGCTGGAGGACTTGCGGCGTCAGGTCATTGACAGCAGGGCAGTGGAGGAGGACGGCCCGCTTGCGCCGCGCGTGGACGTGCTGGGCTTCTCGGACCACGGGGTGGAGCTGATGCTGCGGGTAAGACGGGGGCTGAAAACGAACACATTGCATGCCCATTCCAGGTGTCAGTGGCTCAGGAAAAGGATTCGCTGCATTATTAAGTTAAAGAACCGGGATCCGGAGCAAGCCTTGCAGGTCTGGCCTGCCTACAGGCTTTTAATTCACTTGACGCGAGGAGTGACGCCATGTTGTTGCAGGCATCCTGTGCATGATGGGAGGTACCAATCGAACCCTGTCTTTACTTTATTCCTATGCTCCACAGTCGGCTCATCCCTTGCCTGCTTCGCGCGCAGTGTCGCCTGCGCAACCCCGCGAAGGTTGCGTCGTCTGCCGCCAGCGGTAGCCTTGCAGCGGCGGCCTCGTCCGCACTGCCCGTAGAGGGCCCATCCGCCAGCGGGGGCGTTACGGTGCACGTAGGAAGCGGTACAGGCGGGGGGAGTGACGGCCCGGAGGGTTCCGTAGGTGCATCGGCGCGTGGCGCCAGCAGCAGTAGCAGTGGTAGCGGCAGCGCGCCGGCTTTTGGTGGGCCACGGGCAGTGGGCACGGGGGAGGATGCTAGACAGTCGCTGCGCCAACAGTTAATGTTGGCTCTGGGCCCGTGGCTACACGCACGAAATGGCACGTTGGTGGCCGTCTGATTATCACAGATCTTGTTGAAAGTTGATCGATTCACCTTCAAAACCGTTGGTGGCCCGTTGGACTGCTTACCTCATGTGATGTGGCCGGAACCGTTAACGCATTAAGATTAGAAAGTGCTATTGCTTAAACGTCATCGCGTGATCCGTACTCACTACTAACTTATTGTGGGGAAGGCCATTGCGTCTGCGACCACACTCCCGCGGTACCCAAACCCTTCAAAGACAATTCCGATCAGCCATTTGGCTGTTAGTGGGAGGGCGGGTGGGCCGCTCGCACGGCAATCGAGTAGAGAGTACGAAAATAACCTAATGCAGTCATCGACAGCAGAAAACGTAAGCCTCCAGCCTCATGCCGACTCTCTTACCTACCATTCATATTCTCTACCTCGTTCCCAAGACTCCGCCGCGTTGCCTCTAGTTCGGCTCGTGCCACAGGTAACTTCGCTCGTCGCTACTTTGCCATTCACCTTCGCCTCCACCCAGCCTCTGCTTCTCCACAGAAGCGGCGACCTCCTTCGCCGTTGTTACGCCTCGTCTATGCGAATCCTCCTCATCCGACTGTGTCTTCTGCCTACCCGGTGCGCGCCCCCTCTCTCTGCGCATCCTTTTCTCTGGCCCTCTCTTACGGTTGCCTACCTTACTGCAGGACTCGCCCCTTGCCTGTCCGGTG